ACCCCAAACTAGTAGAAGTTAGCGACCTAAGTGTCAGCCATCACTGATGCCTGGTTAGAGATGGCATAAGCTTCTGGCCACTTAGTGAAGTAGTCCATGATAATCAGAAGAATCAAATTCCTTTATCACTCTCAGGAAGGGGTTCTAAAATGTTGCTGATCTCAAATGGTGCATCAAGCCCCTGCTCAGGTTCAGGGGTCTCAGTTTGCTGTGCAGGTGTCGCATCATTGGCACCACCTCTCAACATCACTACCCACATACAGACAGTAATATCACTGTCTTTGTCCAAGGTTTTGTTAACACTCAGATGTCCTCGCAAAGATCCTTCATGGAGTTCACCCAGGACATTCAACTTGCTCCATGGCAGAACTACTTGGGCTGCCCTGGACCTAGAGTTCCTCATCACCAGGGAGTTCCATGTGCCCAGCAACTCTTGCAGATGGGAAGAAATATCCTTCCATTCAGGATTCTCTCTAGCCTCCACCTCCTGTGGAATCAGCCTATCACCATCCTCAAGCTGCTCCCTCCTTAGTGTGACAAGGTCCCACCCAACTGTGATGGCAGCAATGATAAATATCTCATACCACCAGGCTGGCTGTCATTCGACTTTGTGACAAACGGCACGTCTCTGGGCAAGGTGTTCTACAAAGCGCAGCTGCATTGATGTGCTTCCACCCCTGGTAATGTCTTTATAATACTGTCATGTGTAGGAGTTCGTGACTTATAGATTGGTTTTGGATTGAATGAATGGATTTACTGACACCTTATACACACCAATAGTAAGTATAGAAAACTACAGCGCTATCACTATTTCCACACTTTACAAATCACTAGGTCACACCAAGTCTTCTCAGTCTTCACTAGTTGTATCCTGACAACAGATTTATAAGTCTCACAGCCACTACAAAACACAATGAGGTCTTCTTTGCACAGCCTAATTCCTATTTTGCCATTTCTTCTGCCAACTGCCAACTCTGGAGACTCTCAATTCTGATAACTCACTGCTCACTTGGAACTTTGGAACCTGATTAACTCAAATGATATTCTTTGTCCTTTTATAACCCCTTGGCATGGACCATGCAGAAAACACAGCATGTCTATTGTTGAGGTGTGTTTACAGCCCCACTGCATATTTGTTTCCGCGGGAATATCTTTACTGACCAATTGCCCAGCAATGGACATCTCCTCTGATTTCACTATTCTGGCTTTCAGGCATCATGTTACAAAACTGTACTCTTGGAGACACTGGACCAAGCAGGCTGTCTGACTTTCAGATTATTGAAACAAAGGAGCTAGGTCAGGGTAGGGTGGTCAGTATGAAAGTGGAATTCTTCTCCATAAAGGTATTTGTGGAAGTGTTCCAATGTCTTGACAATAGCCAGTAAGTCCCATCAAGTCACAAAGTAGTGTCAGCCTTGGAGGATAAGATGTGGCTGCAGCAAGCTAGTACATGGTCCTGGCCCTCCTCCACTTGTGACAGCATGACTCCATGTCACCTCTACAGCTTGTTGTGTCACCTGCAGCTCACTACTAAACTTGTGTTTGAGACTGCTGCTGAACTGCTGCCATAGAGCAGTGCAGCCATCAGTCTAGTGTCTGTTATCATTTCTTCAAATTCGTTTTGGCCAGCCTTTGTGGCACTCATTTTGTACTCTAGTTCTTGGCTAACACTCGTATCCTTTGAGAGTCCCTTTAACTCTTCCAAAACAGCCCAAAATGTTGGATCCATCTTTAATCCTAATTCTGACACCAGTTGTGACAATTCATGTGTCTTGGAACAGTTACTGTCTCATTGCTGGTAGTCACTTATAACCATGATGTCAATATGCCTTGTCCAGACAGTACTTCATTGCACAATCCTTGCACTGTCATATTACACCCATTACTTGCGTTTCACAGCATGTCTGTCATGCATGCCTGCTTCTGGCTCACAACTGACACTGGACTGCTCCTCTCGAGAACTCCATAAAACAAAAGTCACAGGCGAAGTCATTCTGAAAATATATCAGAGGCTTACCTTCAGCCATCAGTGTGGGTTGAAAGTTCACACAAAACCTAGCAGTTGACAGAGGTGAAGTCAGGAAGTGTCAAGAAAGACAGACGCATGCATATGCTCCCTCTTGAAGCTCAGGCTATGCAACACCATTTTAATATACTTCTTACTATAATATTATAGCATTCATGGTTTCAAAGTTAAAAACATTTTTCAGTTCCATTAGTAGTTAAAATCTCCCAGTTAAAATCTGTCAGCATCATATTGTGGGGGATTAATATTCAGTATGATAAAAGATAATGTTCAGAGACTTTACAACCAATGACAGAATTAATACTGTAATGTGTACAGCCAGAGTGTTGTTAGGTAATGGACCGGTGAACACCTTGCAACCAAATACACACAAGGCAACAATGGAAGATGTGTCTCAGGGAGGAATGTTATTGCACGTTGCTAGGCAACAGCACACCAATGAAGACGCTGGCTAGGAATCACATGACTTCTTTTCTGTGTGGTATTCTTTACGCTACAACAGAACAGGGTTTTCTGTGCATGGTCAGTGCAGAGGCTATACGAGTATAACGACAGTTACAGATATAACAGTTTCCAGTATTAAGTGCAGTTCCATTCAAGTGAGTTCTTGGGAGGAGACAACCATGGAAAGTCCAGCTTTTGGTTCAGCAAAGTGCAGCTGAGTTCCAGAGTGACTGAACAAGAAGTGGCAGGAGGACTTCACAGTGTCTTGAATTGCTAGTTCCAGTGTTGAGATCCATTGTCAGGAGAAGACTAGTGAAGATGGAGAATCCTAGTGCGTCAGCAACAGTGAACTGTAAAGTGTGTAAATCAGCGATATTGCTGTTATTGACTGTAATTAAGAGGTTGTAAACAAAGCGCTAATAAATCCAATCACTGAAACTAGAACCTGTCATTTCTGATGCGCATACCATTCTACACGTGACATTTTGGTGTCAGAATTTGGTGGCTCAGATTGTACTGGATTCTTCAGCAGTGGTTACATCCGTAAATACATGACAACTGGTGTTAGAAGTGGCTGGAATTAATCGACTGTTGATTGACGACTGAGTTGCATATCTACAGCGCTGTTATATGAAAAATGGGCATGCACTAAATAATCAAAATGCTTGCAGGAATGGAAGAAAAAGCAGAAACCAACCAAAAGGAAATGCTGACTGAAATGAACGCCAACATGAAAGCATGCAACAAAAAATGGACGCCAACCAAGAAAGACTGGAAAACAACAGAAAAGAAGACCGAGAGGTATTAAAGGAAATAATGAATGCCAATAACGCTGGGACAGACATAAATCTAAAGGAAATGAGAGAAGAAAACAACTATATACGGTGTGAGTTAGAGGAGACCATTGAAAAGTGAGTCGAAAACATCAAGACGCGCATTAACCACGAGACACAGAGTCTCCAGAAAGCCTGCTGAAACACAACAACCTGCCATGAAGCGATAGATACATATGAGTATACACAGAAGATTCAGCCTGATCCAAGAATGATACAGTCCATAGCAGAGCATCAAGAAGTCCCCAAGGGAGAAGCTGCAGTAATGCCAGTCAAAGGACTGAGGAAGTGGTGCAGGGACCAGAATCTGGCCGCAGGGCGCCACCAGAAGCTGAAGGGAAGGATCCAGGCATGTTGCGAATCCCTCAAAAGACTGACCGTCACCTGAAGGAAGATGAGCCACTGTGCCAGAGTGGGACGGTGCAAGAGGAATATACCCAGAAAAGATCCTACCAGGACCAATGTGGTACAAGAAATCTAGAGAGGATGGACATGTGGGAGGAGAGGTCAACCGAAACCAGAATACAGCCACTACACCTGAGGATTGGGAGGAAAACTGCCAACAGTATTCGAGAATGGAGCAGAAGATAACAGCCATGACTGGAAAGTATGGGAAACAGTAACGAGGTCTTGGACAAAACCATCAGACTGGAGTTTGTGAAGTGACCAAATGGGATGTCCGGTTGGTTTCGGAAAATAAGGAAATGGACCTTATGGAGGGGTTGGCCCCTTCAAAAGCAGAAAAACAGGCTGCAGATGGAGTAAGGGGCGGATACGTGGATGTGGGAGCACCAACCACACCAGGAGCTTTGGCCCCCAATGTTGGAGAGGGTGGGGGAGAAGGAAAGAAAAACAAGAATAATTTTCGGATTATGATGAAAACCTGGACTAACTGGCGCCTTACAAGTGAACCATTCAGGACGAGCTGGCCTTAAGGAGGGAGCAGTGGTAGCAGTTGGAGAACAGTCGCCGCAAGAGGACAAGAGCAAGCACCAACATCGCAAGCACAGCCCTTAGAAAAGAAGGAACAGTTATGCTCTGATAGGCTATTTGGGACGAACAGCCTTAAACAGAGGGCAACATAATGTGGATGGCCACTGTGTTGCTAGGTAACAGATATGTGAACACCCCTCAACACAAGGTAATAATGGAAGATGTGTCTCAGGGAGGAAAGTTATCGTGCGTTGCTAGGTGACAGCGCACCAATGAAAATTCTGGCTAGGAATCACATGACTTGTTTTCTGTGTTATCTTCCTTATGCTACAACATAACTGGGTTTTCTGTGCATGGTCGGTGCAGAAGCTACGTAATGACAGTTGCAGATAGAACAGTTTTCAGTTTTAAGTGCAGTTCCATTCAAGTGAGTTCTTGGTAGGAGACAGCAACAGGAAGTTCAGTTTTGAGTTCAGCAGAGTGCAGTTGAGTTCCAAATTGACTGAACAAGAAATGGCAAGAGGACTTCAGAGGGTTCTGAAATGCTAGTTTCAGCATTGAGATCTGTTGCCAGGAGACTAGTGAAGAAGAAGAACAATCATAGTGCGTGTGCAACGGTGACCTGTAAAGTGTGTAAATCAGTGACACTGCTGTTTTGACTGTAATTAAGAGAGGTTATAACCAAAGTGCTAATAAACACAATCAACCAAACTAGAACCTGTCATTTTTGTCACACGTACCACCCTACATGTGACAATACTTACTGGTAATCTCTAGAATAAGTGAACCCAACAAAAGGTAAGTGATTCCCAGCAAAGGCTTTAGGAGTGGAAAAATTCTCCTCAGGACTCTCATCCTTGTCCACATCATCAAAGTTACTTGTGTCATCATCTCCAGCCAGCTCTGGTACAACAGGAGGGACACCTGTCAAATAGCCAAAGTAAAAATGCTGAAATTCACATCACAAGGAAAGAACACAGCAAGACATTAATAATCATGATAAGAGCACATGGGAGAGGAAGAACATTTAATGTTCCTTAACTTGAGGCATTTCAAATATCGTGCCTTAAAATCAAAGAATGTCAGCTGTAATTTATTCCATTTGTTTTCCTAACTTCAGCACATAAAGCAAAGTCACAGACTATATGAGATATAGGTTTAACGAAAGATAATTTCTTGATCACCTGGGATTTTATCAACCTTTCAAGGAAAATCTTGTAATATGTTCCAAATCTATCAATTATCACTGTAAAGTGTGAGAAAACTTACTCAAGAATTAGTTACACTGAGAACTGAAGTGAATGCAATTGAACTTAACACAGGAACATCTTCTTAAAAAGACAGATCTATGTACTACATACTTGCTTAACATTTCCCTGGTCATGATAAAAATTTCTGCTTTAACTAGGGGCTCCTGACAAATCATGGATGAAGTATTTGTTATGAAATGTTTAAAATTTCTCACTCACCCTAGGCATCACATCAACAAACATTAAAAACTAAAATCCACTGTCATCTTTTGGTCATTCTTTAGAACTGAGTACTTGTAGAGAGGACCACCAATATATGGCATATAGGTCTCAAAAGTTTTTTAGTTTATGTGTACACACAAGCACATGCACATGCCATTTCTGACAGGACACATGACATATGGATAACATATAACAACCCTCTCAACTCCAAAACATGTGCATAATGTAAGCAAGAAAATATTAATGAATTTCTTATGAATGAAGAATGTTGTCTTCTGGGATGTGGCGCCGTGTAGATCTTGTGTGAACAGACATTTAGGAGGAATGTACTGCCTCCGTTTTCACGGTAGAAAAATCCACAAGTGAGTACCCATTATGAGCAAGTGGCTGCATACTGAGTCTGCAACCACATTGCTTCATACAAGATCTACATGGTGCCACATCCCAGAAGACAGCATTCTTCATAGTCACGGCCATGAAGACCTCAAATCTTACTTCTTATGGATGATATATAAGGGAGCATTAAAGCTTTCCTTCAACTATTTTAAATACTGTAAAAATACCAAAATGACACGATCTGAACATTACATTAATACTTGGCAGTGAGAAAGGAAACATACTAATAATTATTATTATTTCATTCTTAGTAAAGAAACTGCACAAAGAAAATTATGAAAACTCAGAAAGAACTGTACTGAACTACTACTGCTGCTATGACCACCACCACCATCACCACTACTACTGGAGGCGGCAGCAGCAGCAGTAGTTATAGTTGTAGTGACATCAACAATGATAATATACATTCTTCGTACATATTTCAGTTACTTTTAAACAACATTTTATTGTACTGCAAGTAATACTTACAATCTCTAAGATTGTCAAAAGTCCACTGATCATTTTGGAAGAATGAATGTGACTTGATTTCTTCTACACCATTCCTCCCCAGTCTTCCTGTTCTGAAGATAATGGCATATAGTGATAAATCACTGGCAAACATATAAACTTTATACATTGAAAACATATTTTTTAAGATCCAACAATCTGGAAATGATACCACTATTTTTATTTGAAGCATTAAAAATATATGTGTGAGATAACACTGTTAACAGGAACATCAGAATAAGGTACCACATACTAGCAATACATTTCTCTTTCTAAAATTCTATATTTCACATGTCTCTAACATCCCAGAATTAAATTTAAACTCTACTACTAGGAATATCAACCTATAGAACGAAACAGTTTCCTACAGTATCAAATTGCATCATGAAGCCTACCTGTCAGTGAGGAAGCTGCAGATAAGGCTTTTGGCATTGTGACTGATCTCAATGTCAGTTGGGAAGTGAAGAGAATTACGATGATCCATGATCTTGCTGTATGTCCCAACCAAGCTGTCAGCATAAAATGGTGTGTCGCCCACCAACATTTCATACAGAAACACACCAACACTCCACCAGTCACACTCGCGTCCATACACCCCTTCCCCACCTTGTGACTGTAGCACCTCAGGAGAGATGTAATCAGGAGTGCCAACTGCAGTGTCTGATCGAACCAAACCATCCTTCAAGGTAAAGAATCATACCCAAATAAATTATCATGATGCTTTGGGAGCCATTAATACGTAGGTAAGCCAATAAGTAAGTTATCAATTGATATAAAGCTTAAACAAATAAGAGCACAGATTTGAAGAATGCTTTCATTTCTCAACATAATCTCCTTGTACATTGAGGTACTTGTCCCATCATTTCACAAGCCCCTGTAAACCAGCAGCATAAAACTCTTTGGGCTGTTGTCAGAACCATGCGGTGAATTCCTTTTCTACAGCTTCATCATCAGGAAAATGTTAAGCCAAAAGATGTTTAAGAGGGCCGAACAAATGGAAGTTGCATGACAGGTTAGGTTTTAACAAAATCTGTGCACGATGGGTGCCGTGCATGCTGACCCCACAACACAAAATGCAAAGAATGGGTCTGACATTACAGCAACTCAATCGCTACCACGATGAAGGACATGATATTCTAGCCCAAACTGTCACAGGTGATGAGTCTTGCTCCAAGTGACTTCCATTTGTTCGGCCCTCTTTAACATCATCTTTCAACTGAACATTTTCCTGATGATGAAGCTGTAGAAAGGGAAGTCACTGTCTGGTTCCAACAGCACCCCCAAAGAATTTTATGCTGCTAGTTTTCATGGGCTTGAAAATGATGGGACAAGTGCCTCAATGTACAGGGAGATTATGTTGAGAAATAAAAGCATTTTTCAAATCAGTACTCTTCTATATTCATTTGTAATTTACTGACTTAACACCGTAGTATGTATTATACAATTTTTTGGAGTTGTGTATTTTAAAATATTTTCAACTGGATTTACTTTTTCTTTGATGGTTGGAAAATCACTAGAAGTTTTTAAAAAGATAAAAAATACATAAACACCTGGAAACCTTAAAATCTGTTAATACAGTCAAACAAATTCAGCCCAATAATAAAAAAAACAAGGCATACATATCACTCAGCAGAATTAAAGTGGTCTTCCCACACTCAAGTTAGGATAGTATCATGAAATCATTATTTCATACTCCACGAGCATCATGTTCCATCACCAAGTATTCAATTTCTGTTTCCAGCCATACCCACTATTGAATTTCCTTTGTTTACAACATTTTTTACTTTAGTCCTCAAGGTCACTGTCCACTAGACAAATTCAAAATGGATACACCACTGTAGGTACTGCGTGGAAACTACTAAATTCATTTCAACCTTCAGCATACTCACAGCATCCATCCTCATACAGGTGCCAAAATCAGCAAGCTTCAGGTGTCCATGTTGGTCTAAAAGCATATTATCTGGTTTCACATCTCTGGGGGGGGAAAAGACATAAATTAGCTCTCACCTGCATTCAAAATTAATTTCTTTATAGGCGATAATGGTAACAAAATTCAGAATCACTGAGAAGTTTACTTAAGACAGTAGATGCTTCTGATATACCAGTATGTAGTGCATACTTATTATCTTTCTGGTTTACTTAACGCTTTCAATAGCTCGGACTAAACAGCATTGCATGACAGGGCAAGCAATTAATTTCAAAGGATGCAGATGTGGAACTGTGAGTTTACAACAACCTAGTAAGTGCCATTACAAGAAACAAATCACAGAATGACTTAATTTTAATAAAACTATTCTACAGCACCTGATTTTTGTGTGTATAATAACACAGATTTTCTGACAAAAAAGTTGTGAAAGTGAAAAAAGGTGTGTAGTTCAAGATGCAGAAAATGGTCAATGTTGGGAACTGAAAAGAACACTGGTTTCTTATACCAGATCCAATAATTTAACATTTTAAATGGAATACCAATGTAGGTATGGCAGCAGTGTTTCTAAGAATGAAGCATGAAATCAGACAAGCTGGTGCAGCTCAGATATACTATTTATATCAAACCTGGATTAACTAGAATCATACAAAATGGTAAAGCTGTTTTGGTGACGGGCCGGGAAGCATATAGAATTGTGAGAGGGCGAGTGCCCCACATTTTCTAGACACAGATGGCGGTGAGCTGTCAGCCTTATGTGGCATCTGCTCTTTACCCCCCAGGAAGATTCCTGGTAGTCATTTCTGTGATAGGCTGAATCAACCCCAAAGCCATAGTGTGGTTGGAAGGATTAGGTGAACTGAAAAATGACCTCAACAGGATATGAAGCCACAACTAGCCAGCTTGTAGCATAGTGCCACAACCATGATACTGCGTGCCGCCAGCACCAAAGAAAAAAAAAACTGGAAAATTAGTGATAGTTCTGACGGTCTAAGAATTCCAATCAGTAAAGTTGACCGTCTTACTGTACACCATGCTGGTTCAGAGGCCACAGGACTCATTCCAGAAAGAAAATTAATTTTCAGCTCCAGTCTAAGAATTCTACAGATTACCACTCCGAAAATAATTTTTCTGTGTTTAAGAACATTACAATTGAGTGGCTATGTTCCTGCTTCACATTTATGAGGTCTCAGGTTAAAATTTCAGCCTTGAGTCTTGTTATCCTTACTGAAGTTTTTCATGGTTTTCTGCAGGCCTTGCTGGCAGTATCTCAAATAAAGTGCATATCACTTCCTTCCACATCCTCCCAAAATCACCATTTACCAACATCATCAGATGCTACATGACTGGAGCGTCGTTAATTGGACAATAAATAAATAAATAGCATAAGTTTGATAGCTAAGTACAGTCAACTCTCGATTATCCGGGATAATGGTGGGCATGGAAATCACGAATAATCAAAAACCCGGTTAAGACAAATTTTATTAAAAGTAGTACTGTAATACTGTACCTTCGTAATACTATAGGCCTACCTGTATTTAAATTTACTCAACCTCATTTTTATGTCATCTCATGGACTATTTAATACTTTTTTTACATTATACAGAAGTGTGAATTAGTTATTTCAATCACAGTGTTCATCAACATCCAACACTTTTTACGAATATTCACACTTAACACTTAAAAAAAATTAATATTGTCGTTTGCTTTTTCGTGGCATTTTCCTTTTTACGGATATCTGTACGAAGCCTGCATAATATTAGCTTGTCACTTAATAAACTGTTCTCTTCACTCTCAAGATAGTCTAGTAAGGATTCCAAATGATTTAGAGCAGCACCATATGATATTTTCTTACTAGCAGCACTGTCCACCTCTTTCTCGTTCTCACTTTCTTCCCGCTCTTCTGGCTGCACCCCCACTGAACTTATGATTTTGTCACTGCTTAACATTTCAAAGCCCGGCTCACACGAGTTTCTGTTGAATACTTAACACAACACGCTTCCTTTTACACCCTGACATTTTGCTAATGCACTTGAAGATCGATACAAAGAGACTAATTGGAGTGGTGTATCTATCTGTCCTTGAAACTTTCCACAAATCCTTGCATTCTTTCACCCCTACCCTAGAACACTGTGTTAGCATAACGGGACCAAAAAATGCTGAGCTCGGTTCACACTAGTGCGAAAATAGTGTTACAACTCACCATGTGAAACAAAAGTGAATGAATATTAAACAACATATAAGCCTTAAAAAAGCCTCAGTAGCCCCGGTTAAGCCGCAAACCGGTTAATCCAGAGTTGACTATACGAGTATCATGAGTGTCATTTGCAAACTGTAACAAATTACAAAAACAAACTCTAAAGCCTGCACACTAGCAAACCGTATCTGCAGGCAGTGTAAGCTATGCTGGGGCTTTCTGCTCATGCTTTGAGACCACAAGAAGAACAAACATCTGAAACCAAAAATTACCCTACTAAGGATGATCCTAGAATTAATTCATACATTAAAGACACATAAATGTGGGATTTGTGGTGTACAAAGTGGCACTGGGGCAGGTTTTCTCCAAGTACTTCAGCTTCCCCTGCCAATCTTCATTCCACCAACTGTTCCACAGTCCCCATTTGTCATCTGGAGCTGGCACAATAGGCAAGTAGTGGCCACAGTACCAAGTGGACTCACTCTCACCCTACTAAGAAGATACATAAATAAACATAAGAAATTAAAATCTGTGATAGATTTCTACCAGTTATCTCCTTCTATCTACTTATTTTCAAACAAGATTCCTCACTGTTAATTATATTTACCACAAGTTGATGTAGAAATATTTTCAGTATGCTAAGGGAAGAAAAAGTCTGCTATATGCATAAATACTGTGCACAATAAATTATATTCAAATACTATAGGTATAATGTTAGGTCAAGTTGTGAGGTTCTAATGGCAGGGAATATTAAGATTATTGTAATCCAGAATATGATGCCATGAGCAAGTAGTCTAATGATAAGAAGTTACCAACCTTTCAGAGGAATCTGCTGCCAGCATCTTCAGGGTAGAAGAGAGTGACACATGGAAAAACAAATATATGGATACAGGGAAATAAAGAAAGGAAATTGGACTGTGTGCTGGCCAAAATGAGAAAAATATGAGAAAAGGTCAATTTAGAGTCTTACAAAAGGGCAATTATGCTGATGTACAGATGCACCTATGTTCAATAAAGCTACTCTTTTGCAAGACCCTGCAGCCACTTTTCCCCTTGGCCTTCTCCTTGACTCAATTCCTTACATCTGCATCCTGATTTTTCTGCAATTGCCTGTTCTTCTGCTCTAAAGACAGAGGCCATATTTTCCCTTGAAACATCAGCAAACCCCAGACCACAGCAATCTTCGAAATAACTCTGCTTCACATATAATATTGACGACACTCACCTATGTACAAAACCCATCGAATGAATGGCATCTAATGCCAAAACAACTTCTGCACAGTAAAATTTTGCCCATTTTTCAGGCACATCATAGTTGGACATTAAATTTACAAGATCTCCACCTGAAATGAAAATAAGACATTGTGTTACATTACTTATAATTCATCATCTCTCTTTTGCTACAAGGCTAATGAAAGAAATGTTGCTGTGTCAGATTATGATAACATTCTTAGTACACTTCAAAACGTAATTCCAGCATTCATTTAATGATGATACCTATATAAATACAAGCCACTATGCCAGTAACTAACAGATATTTCAAACATGATACTGTCACATGTTTAGGCATATACGTGACAAATAACTTCACGCCGTACTGGATACAGCGAATTTTATTTCACAGTCGCTCTTACAATCACACAGTTTACAATCTCAACATTACTGCCATCGGCAGTATCACAAATGCTAGACTACAACTGACTGGTTGACTTCCTGGCCAACTCGTAACTTGTAACTCGAGAACTTGAGAGCTAACTGTGAACAGTCTTCGCTGCTCCTTATTTAGCCTCGCTCCAGACAACACAGAAAACAGCCACATAATAAGCACCACTGTTGTCTGGCACCGTGTTGCTAGCAACGCTGTTGGGGAGTTGTTTACATGAAGTCTTCTAAATCACACTTTACATCCTCACAGGGTAATGACCTTATTCTTCTGTGTTCTTGGCTCCACTTTGCTTGCTTCCACCACTCTACTTCCACTCGGTGGATCAGTGTCGTCATGTAGCCTCAAATCAGACAGCACGGAAAATGCAGCTTTTCCTCATTGTTGCGTGGAAGGGGTGTTTATCGACTGTTGCGTAGCAATGGGCTGGGTGGGGGTATGTGATGTCACTTGCGGAAGCGCAGAGGTAACATGACTCCTACTTACTGTTGCACCATCCAAGCGTTCACAGAGCTGTCACATAGCAATGCGCTGATACTCGTAGAGTCTGCAACTCTCCCATTGCACGTGTGCCCTGAGGCCTCTGTGGCTCAACAGTTCCTGCATAGAGCAAATATGCCACAACATTGTAGCATATTCACTGAAAGCAAGAATTGTCAAATCACAACAGCCAGCTGTTACTAGGCTGCGCATGCAAGAGTGGAATATGTCATGCCATTAGTAAGCAAAAACTGCACTGCAATGGAGGACCAATATCTTCCATGCAGTCCATGCCTGGGATATACAATGAGCTGAGTCACATCTTGAAAAGGAGTCAGTCAGTCAGTCAGATAACCGCTGGGATTCAGTTGTTGTGAGCTGTTGCAGTCGGAAGCCTGTAGCTGAGGCTGGGGACAGTTTAGGAACTCAGAGGAAAGGGGAGGTCCATGGCTGGATTAGTGAAGACTGTAATAGACTGAGAAGAACTAATGTGTCCTATAGTGATTGGTGAAGTGTGTAGAACAGTGAGAGTGCAATCCTTATTTGTAGTCATAAGTTGTGTTTGAAAGTGTCCAATAAATCCAATTACCGATGAAAACCCCATCTAAAGTCACTAAAATCATGACAGTATAAATATAGTAGCCATGAAATAAACATACAAGGTACAGTCAAATAAGTCCCAGGTTGACGACGAAATGACACTACTTCTGCCAACACAAACTGCTACTGCATTGCACAGATGCAGTAGAGTCTGCCATGTAATGTCCTACTTGGAATAAGGCTGTAGCACACACCACTGTTGACTAATGTTTTGTTAAGTACATACTGTGATTTTTACATACCCATTAAATGGCATACTTGAAAGAACAGCATGTCTGTAATAAATATTGCTTCAAACTGGGGAAATATGCTACATAAACCTTCAAAATGTTGAAAGTATGTTTAGGGAAGCAGGTAATAGGAAGAGCACAAATTTTTGAGTAGTTTTCCAAGTTCAAAAGCAGTGTGATCTCTGCTAAAGTAACTGAACACTCAAAACGTCCACTACGAGCAGAACAGATGAAAATGTGAACCAACTGAAGCAACTTGACAATGAAAACATGACAATCACTATCTGTGAGGTTACTAACATGTTGTCATCTGTGACATCTGTTGTCACTTCAGAGCACTCCGGAAGAAAATCTGAGCATGTGTCAGATGCCCAGCCTCCTGAGAGGGAGCACAACGAGAATCAAGTCAACATGTTCCAGGACCTTCAAGGGAGGCTTCAGAGAGACCCACAATAACAGGTGATGTGACATGGGTTTATAGCCATGACCCAGAAACCAAGCAACACACATCACCTCAACACCCAAAAAAGGCAAGACAAGTTTGCTCAAATGCAAAGAGCATTTTGCTTTTCTTGAACACTGAAGGAGTTGTGCACTGTGAGTGTGTTCCACAAGGACAAACTGAAACCAACATTACTACAATGACACCTCAGAATATCTGCGTGAAAATGTGAGGAAAAATCGACCTGAAAAGTGGAATTCAGGGGATTGTTTTTCCACCATGACAATGCACCAGCTCACTCTGCTTTGTGTGTGCACGAATTTCTGGCTAAAAACAACCTGACTGTCATTCCACATCCCCCCACGCACTAGATTTAGTACTGTATGACTTCATTCTTTTCCAGGAGCTCAAGGTGGCATTGGAGGGAAGGAGATTTAATTACGTCATCATGACTTATGCAAAATCACTTGCCATGTGTCAAACAACAGACTTCAGGAAATGCTTCAAATGGTGGCATGATCACTGGGCTCACTGTATGAAGTCCCAAAGAGACATGGTCAGACACACACAAAAAAAGAGACTGACACTATAGCTTAAAGAGACAGTGGGAGGGGAGAGACAAAGAGATGGTTATAGAGCATGTTCTAATCTGTTACAGTGAGACAATGCTCAACACCATAGCTTTACTCAGTATGAGTGGATGCGTGTTCATATACAGATGTTTTCTTACCCTTGGTCGGAAAATGTTGGAGTGCAAGAGTGAACAGTGTGTTAACATCAAATTTCTTGTGAAATTGAGGAAATACATGACAGAAACTTTTCAATTATTGACTGAAGAAACCAAGGGACAATCTATGCAGTGGAAGTCAGCAACATCTCCAGGACAAAAAAAAGAAGCACGCAAGAACTGTTGGAAGTTCAAGGCCATGTTGATTGTTTTCTTCAATATCCAGGGTACTGTAATGACAGAGTGGGTTGCAAGCGGCCAGACGGTAAATCAGCAGTGTTACACTGAAGTCTTGACAAAATTGCGCGAAGGCATGAGAAGGAAACAACCAGAAGAGAAACAGTTGGATTTTTCACCAAGATAACGCGCCAGCCCACAATGCTTTGTCTGTGAAGTAGTTTTTAGCTAATCACATCACTGTGCTTGAGCACCCACCCTATTCGCCAGACCTGGTTCCCTGCAACTTCTACCTCTTCCAAGAAATCAAGTCGGTGCTCAAAGGAACCCATTTTTTGTCGGTAGAAGACATGAAAGCAAAAACGATGGAGATCCTCAACAGCCTTTCAGAAAGTGATCTGCAGACTTGCTTTGAACGGTGGCAGCACCGTATGCAATTGTGAGTAAACTCAGAAGGGACCAATTTTGAAGGAGATCTTAGCTGATTTTCTCAATTTGTTAAATAAAAAGAGATACAGACCCAGTCTCATTTTTTCTGTCTGACCACGTACATTAGAGGATTAAGTGCTGTTGGTGTGGAGAAATAAATTCAGCCCAGAAACTATGTGATCACACCTAATATGTAAATAGTAGACATATAAGACAATTTCACTCAGATTAAAACTACTCCACAATTTCCTTTTTCCCCATAGAAATATCCTACAAAATGAAAATACAACTTCTCACACATAAATATTACAAGCATAAATTGACAAAAATTATATACCATCTCAAATGTCAGGTGGTATCAAACTCTTTAAATTTTAAGAGCCTTTCTGACCATAACCTGATCTTGAAACCGTATTTGAAGATGGCATGGCAAACCAACAGGTGGTTTCCATGCTATTGCTCTAGAATTCCCTGCAGGAAACATGCAAAATTAACTATCTCCTGGGATGTAACATCATGCAGTCTGGTAGAAGTCCACCAATGTTTTGGAGCAACATACTGCCTCCACCTTCAGAGTCTATGTGTAAGCCAAGCAAGAAGCATGTGGCAGGACAAACTTATGAGGAACTCCAATTTGTACCCAGGGCTCTTGCCCTGGGATTAAAGTGGCCGGGGCGTGAAGCTGACCACTCACCTACAGTTAGTGCTGAGGTCAAGAAAATGTGGATCTACAAATCCACTCCTCCATTTGCCTTCATGGCGCAGTACTTAATTAGTTAAGCACAGGGGACAACNTATAGCAACAGGCGTGACCAGAGTGGTTTGAACGGCTGTTGTACTGCGATGTGGAAAGCAAATGGAAAAACTACCACATTATCACTTTTCCTGGATAGTCTCTTTCCAAAAACAGAAGATCGCATTAAGTGGAGAAACTGTTTTGGAAGAGACTGTGGACCTGTCGTCTGACAGATTACTGATGATGATGATGATGATGTATATAAGTGTTAGCGGCCTCCATAGTCTAGGGGTAACGTTCCACCTCATGAATCAAGGTACGTGGGTTCAAACCCGGCGGAGGTCGTGGAATTTTTAAGGGCGGAAAAATTCAGGGAACAAGTCCTCCAGGAGGGACTTTAAGCCGTGGGTCCCGTGTCGTGGCTTTACGGCACGTAAAAGAACCTCATGTCTCAAGGAGACCTCTGAGTCAAATTTGTAAGGACATTTCCTGCCCAACAATAGTCTCTAACGCCTCTGGTAGATGGGGGAAGCATCTAGATACCGCTGAGCCAGTAGAGGCCGAACTCGCTGGCTGAGTCGGGACTGATGGCATGCACCAGTACCGGTAGGGTATAGAGACTGGTAGAATATCACAGGGAGACGTACAATAGATCAAACTGGTCGCGGTGCATGGGGAAACCGGCCCCCTCCAATAAAAATAATAATAAAAAATAATATAACAGTGTTCCGCAACTGGTGTGCCATCACAAGGTGAAAGGTGTGACGTGAACTTTTACCTATTGTAAGAAATTAATTGTCGAATTTTATTAGTTTTATTTTATCCCAGTTACTGTGTTTCATACACTTGTATTTTATTCTCAGCCACTGCACTGATTAAATAAGATGATTCTTGTTTATTCTTTATTACATGCTGTGAGTTTTTATGTACAGTAATGTTGTATTCTGAGAAATTAAACGAAAATAATTTACTCACAGCTGTTATTATATCATAGTTTTCATTATTGATTTATTCTTATTTTTCTCGCACCTACGCAGCTTCTTTGATATGCTTGCCGCATGTTCTGTGTACGTGCTTTTCCTTACAACTGCACGGATTAGCATGGGTTTTCCTGTCTTTCATAACACTGCTTTGGTATTTGCCCATTTGTTAGAAGTTAGAGCTTCTTCAACTTTATGACTTTCTTCCTGTAATGATGCACCCACCTGTTGTTGGACTTCGTTTAAATTATAAATATTTCAAAAATAAGTCGGTATAGGGTCACTTCTTCCGTTTGAAGAGTAGAGATCCCACGTTTTACAATTGTTTCAGTTCTATCACAACTGTGCTCTGAAGTAGTTCGCAAATTTTGGTTGCTAGTTAGAGAATTACAGATGGGTCGTATGAGATGTCCCCGACTGTATGGCTACTTGCTGACGGCAATAAAGTAGTGATGAACACAATTAAAGAACATTTAGAAACGATGCAGCAGAAATTCAATAAGTATTTTGGAGAGAGTGTACAAGATTTCAACTGGGTTCGTGATCCATTTGTTGTGAATTCGGAACATCTTCCGATTAATATACAAGAGGAACTGGCAGATTTAAAAGCAGACAGAACATTGAAACTAAGACTTCTCGAAGTGCCTTTGGATACGTTTTGGTTGGCAATAAGGAGTGGATACCCGGCTATCTCCGAGATGGCAGTTTATGTGTTATTGCCATTTTCAACCACATATTTATGTGAACTGGGCTTCTTGACGTTCACTGAAATTAAGACATCAAAGAGGGAGCAGTCAAATCCATCGATGAAGAAATGAGACTTGCGTTGTCAACGATTCCACCACGGATCAGTCGCCTGTGTGCAGCTACACAGGCGCAAGTAGCACATTGAAGGTATCAGTAGAATTACTGTATTTACTTTAATAGTAATAGAAGTGCATTTTCTACACTCTACAGTGAATTGAAGTTCATTTGTTAATAAATGCATGAGTCGATATCTGTCTAATGATAATAAAATAACGATATAATAACATTATAGTAATAAGTTGATCACATTATGTATTTATATTAATTGTCTGGTATCATGTGTTTTTGAGGGGAATAACATTTTGGTGTGCCGTGTTGAGTCATGGATACTTCATGGTGTGCCATGAGTAGAAAAAGCTTGTGGAACACTGGTATATAACACCATGAGGTATGGTAGAAGTCCATGGACGTTTTGGAGCAACATATTGTTTCCATCTTCAGGGCCAAAGAGTAAGCCAAGAAAGGGACCAGCAAGAAGCATGTGGCAAATAGAGCCTATGATGACTACTATCTTCTGGTATGTAACTTGTAGTCTGGTAAGAGTACACCAACATAATCAGAGAAATCTACTGCTTCTATGTTCAGGGTCATAGGCTAAGTTAAGCAAGAAAAGAGAAAGATGCAGGCAACATACCACTGGGCATTCCATTTCTGTTATGCCTGACTGCACTGCAACAATTGATTCTTGTCAGATCGATGAATAAGTCAGGCAAAGGGAACTGGTTATATGGTGACATATAGCTCATGTCCATGTCCTTTTACATTTACGTCAACTGTTTTACAGATGCATGTGTTGCTTGCATCCCTGCAGATGTATGTGTCCTGTCCTTCAATATGCAAACATCCACATAACATGTGTGGCCAGAAATGTCACATAATTTACACATTGTTATTCTGAAATGTGATCCTTAGGCATGCAAAAATCTATCACTCTGACTGTTTTGCCATAAAAAGGTGAAATCTCTTCAGCAGTCAAGCAACAATCTTTCAAGAGATCACATACACCATGGCCCATCTGAACAATCATCGAGGAAATCTAAGTACTGCTGGTATTCCTGACTGGTCTCTTCCACTGATAATGCAGTAACAGCCCAAATATACTTCATGAAAACACTGTATGAGGTGAAATCTTTCTTTAAATGAGGTGCAACATTCTTTTATCAGTCATATCACCAGCGAATTGAATGATATTGCTGCTTGTCCCACCCATCAGCTGCCCTACTCTGACATCCCTCAAGGTTCAAACAGGACTGCTAGCAAGTCACTGTCAGAACTGTCATCTGTCTTGCTGTGGACATCCATATCTGACTGGCCAAAAGCGCTTGTATATTTGGCCAAGTGAACTGAACTTGTTCTGTCATGTTATTTTCCTTCTCATCTCCTTCATTGCAGTTTTCCTCAGTTTCCTCTGATTTCCTGTGAAGTATTCAATCTTGTCTTTGTCCAAACATTGTCTTTTGACATTACTGATACCATGTACATACAGTGTGAAAGAAAAGAAAGTGGAAAGGTATGTTACAGAGATAGAAGCACAAGGAGCTGGCCGTTTGCTTCCTGTCTCGGAAAACCTAATAACAAACTCTTATAATTGAAGTTTATTGTATAATATGACCACTATTTCCATTCTCAGAACAACAGAACCACTGTATAGAAAGGATGCAGTTATGTTTGTGTTATGTGACTTGTGTTGACTGGATAGCAGTCCCAAAGCATGGGTGGGAAGAAGTGGTGGTCATAATTCATAACTACACAATGTATGGTTGTCATATTTTCTGGTACTTTTCAGAGCTAAATGCAAAATTATATCTACTCAAGTGAACATCTGACAATGGTGAAACTTACTCTGAAATAATTGTTAACTAAGTGTGTATATACAGACAGGCTATTTCAAAACTATGAATACAGATAAATGGATTAATTCTTACTTAGCACTCCAGATTTATTTGGAGCCTACAGCTTTCAAAATCCAATAAACAAAATTTCTTTCCTGAGACACTGCATTTTAGTCATTTTAAGGGATTTAAAAAACCAGACCATCACTTGGTATGCTGGGGATTTAAATGCTGCCACTGAAAGGTTAAATCCCTCTCATTATGTTCTTTGACTCATCTAGCCTTTCATGCCTGGCAAGTAAAGAGGAACTGTTTTCTGAAGTGATATTACCAACATGACAGGATTCCATTCATGGCAGGGCAATAAGGATGGCTCACAGAGGATACCCACAGCTCAAAATGGACATTAAACTATTGAAGGAACTTGATATTCACCACAGTCATAAAGGTGGAACTATATAGGGTGAAAAAATGTAAAAACATTCAAAAAAGAAGGAAGGAAGGAAGGAAAAAAAAACAGAAATCTGCACTGCACCTAGTATTTCTTGAACCACAGACTCCACAACCAAACTTCTCCAAGAATGGGTGCCCAAGCCTTGAAAACAACAACAGAAAAAGACCACAAACTTCAAGATCGATTTTGGGTGCGGCATGACACACTGTAGTGGCACCACTTTCACAGTCCCTTATACCACAAATGCTGAAGTAGTAACATTTTACACTTTCAGCCTCAGTTTCTCATTCTATATTAGGATGAGCTAGTTGGATCACTATGTTCAACACCACAACCAACACCAATACAATTTCCCTGAATCGTAATATGAACACTATGTTGCTGGCAATAACAATACAAGCTCACCTGGCATGTAATCCATGACCATGTAGAGGTATTTAGTATCCTGGAAGGCAAAATGAAGTTGGACAATCCACTGAGAGTTTGCATGTGCCATGATGTCACGCTCCTCCCAGAAAAAAGCTGAATCCGATCGCTTGATCTGAAAACAGTAACATGTTAATTTCTGTGCTGTACATACAAATTTTGGTTGGAAAACCTAAAGAAAAGAACCCGCTACAGAAATTACAGTGTAAGTTAGAAGATAAAACTGAAACAGACTTTTGAGAACTAGCTTTAATTTGGGCTCAAAGGCATCTTTTGTGGAGAATGTAATAACATAACGGATATGTTCTTTAAAAGCTGAATAGGTATTCACTACTGAGGAAAAGCAGGAAAACAGATTTACTTTGATTTTCAGGGCTTCATTATGAATTCAAACTATTATAATATATGCATGTACTTCTCATTCCTGCTGCACCCTTGTCAAATACGAGGGCTGGAACTTTAATAGTGGCAACTATTTATTTATAACTGATACAAAATGGATGCATGTTTCGAAGTTTTACTGTCCTTCAGTGTAGTCACCAGCATTGTGTACAACCCGTTGCCAGTGATGTGGAAGTCATAGGATACCTTTAGCAGTGCCTGCTGTGTTGGCAGTTTGAATGGAGCGGTCTATTACCCGAAGATTCTCTGGAACAGTTCTGAAGGGAATGCCATGAAGTGGTTCCTTCATCTTAGTAATCAAGTCGAAGTCACAAGGGCTTAAGTCCGGGGAGTATGGTGGATGGTACAGCACTTCCCATCCCCATCAATCGAACAAATCAGTCACAGCTTGCACCGCATATGGCTGAGCATTGTCCTGCAAAATAATGGGTGGGTTCTGCAGAAAGTGTCGCCGCTTCTCTCTCAAAGCTGGTGGCAGGTTGTGTTCCAAAAATGAACAGTAATACTGTGCATTGATGGTCTGCTGTCAGGGAACAGTATGCGTTAGGATAACACCATCAGAGTCATGCATGAGAATCACCATAACTTTCTTTCACATTGCTGGGGTTCTGACAAAATTTTGATTTTTGTTTTGACCCATAATGAGGCCATTCGTTCGATTGGCGTTTCATTTGTGGCTTGTACAATTTGGCCCATGTCTCATCCAGCATAATGATATGGCATAAGAAAGCCTCTCCTTCACGCTCATGGCATTCCACGTGATTAAGAGCAGTGTTGTATCATAGCCATTTCTGCATTTCCATCAAATCATGCGGAAACCATGGTGATGCAATTTTCCTCATGCCCAGGTGTTCCTTCAGAATGTGAAGCACAGTTGTGTGCGCTAATCCTGTCTCTCGGGCCAGCTAACAAATCATATGGCGTCAATCACTCTCCAGTAACGTGGAAAGAGCACATATCTTCACTGACACAAGGACGACCTGGCCGATGGATGTCTGCCACATTTTGGCGTACCTCATTGAAGGCTTTTAACCACCTTGCCACTGTTCTGTAAGGCAATGCAGATTCCCTTCCTGCCTCTTGAAGACTTTGATGACACTGGCATGCTGTATGGCCTCAGGCACATTCAATCATTATCCAACTCCGTTGTTCCTGTTTCAAAAACATCGTCACAACACTACATTAGACCGCCAGCTAACACGAGGCTTTATTCTCATCACTGCACATGTGTGTGATGTGGAAGGGAGAGTCCATTTGCTCTAAGGTAAGGTAGGTATGTAACTAACGTGTGGTATCAGTAACATTATTTGGTTCCGTTGCATGGCATCTCTACAGCAGTGTTGCCACTATTAAAGTTCAAACCCTCGTACAATGTACTATTTGTTTTAAATATCAAAATCAGAATCAAAATGTGTTGATACAGGTGAGAATTAACCATAAGAATATGTGAAAAGCATGGCATATCAAAGACTTTCTAAAAATCAATGGCAATGCATCTAGAAGGAAGATCATGAAACCAACATCTAGATGAGGTACAGGAAGACGCTGAAGGACTAATTTCTCTACAGTGCACAATCTTTCTTGGGAAGCTAACAGTCATTCAGCCATAAAAGAAATCCTCACCACCTACAGAACCCAAAGGTTCATTACCCTATCATTAGCCAAGATGATTTCACTCCATTTGGACAAACCATTTTTCTAAGACCAATTTAAATATTATCCTCCTACTTGCATCTAAACCTCTCAGGTGGTCTCCTTCCTTCAATTTTTCTAGCCAAACTTCTGCCTCATCTTCCCCCATGTATGCTTCATCTTTAGCCCATCTCAATCTCCTAAATTAACAGTTCAGCGTGGTTTGACGTGTATGTTTCATCAGGTATTTAAATCGTCTGGGGGGGTTCGACGTCTATGTTTCGTCCAGCTGCACACCTATGTTATAACGCCCATAATAATTGATGGTTTTGCTGTAGATTGTTAGATTTTTCGCTGGCCTGTTGTCACAAGGACTATATATAATGAGCCACGACTTTATGTGCGCTAAGTCATCGTTACATAAGCCTGTCTTGCAGCAAAGTTCCTGTTGCTCTTGGGAGAGGTTTAGTCGTTCAATCTGTTATGAATGGTGTGTTTTCTTTCCTATGAAGTTATAAACAGCAGAGACGTGATGTGTGCTGTGTTTATAATATCAGATGGCCCTGAGCTGGCCACACTAACACACTCAATTGGAATTCTTAGGAGAGGGATGTCCAAAAATTTATTCTTGCAAGATCGATTGATTTCGCACAGTACATGGCACCCAGTTCTTAGAAAAACGTCACGAATTAAGGCAGAACACTATGGTCACCCCCTATGACGATACTGGTGTGTGTGTGTGGGGGGGGGG